GGCGGCACCCTCCTGCCTCTGCCTCTCTGCTGGCTGAGAGCGCTGGGTTAAGTGTGTGGGGTGGAGCATGTTGAGAGGCTTAACGACAATGTGTCTTTTATAGGGATACCTTTGGGGGTGGGGAGGTGTGTGTGTGTGTGTGTGTGTGTGTGTGTGTGTGTGTGTGTTTTAGACAGGTTCTGGCTGTGTAGTGCAGGCTGGCCTTGAACTCGCAGTGATCCTGCCGCAGCCTCCCGAGCGCTGGGATGACAGGTGTGCGACCCTTCACGTCCGATGTGACTCGACAGATGTTTCATTTTGACATGCCTCAGGCTTCTCATACTGTCTGAACCTAGAAAACAACCAACAGTTTCTTTCTCTGCAGACTGAAGAAATTTTTAAGAAAAATGTTAGCAGACTCAAAAAAAAAAAAAGCCTCCAGATAATTAGCCTGCTTGGGGATTAGTAAGATTGTGAAGTGTTTCTAGGGTAAAAGGCTTCGGTTCCAATTCTAGGTTTCCATGAAACATCCCCACCGGCGGCTGTGTGCCCCAAGGCCAGCTAGGAGACCTCTCGGATCCCACTTCTGCCCAGCTCTCTGATCTAAGCTGGCCCAGAGCTGTTTCCAGAACACAGGCATACCATCGCCATGGGCTTAGGCAAAGAAAGGGCTTATCTCATTAAAATACCAAGAACGAACTTTGAATTATTTCTCTAAATGTTTGGTCTATATGTTTTCCTTTGATTTTTAAACTACAGTGCAAATATACATGGAGTTGAGCACGCTAAGCCTCGGCGGGTGTCCAGCTGCCTGGCCTCCGTGCACCCAGGGTGCTGTGCAGCCACCCCCAGCACGCTTCTCGCGATGCTCACGTGGGATGAACATCACACTTCCTCTGGGAGACGCCCATGCCTGAGCCCGTCCTGCACACCTTAAGGGAGCAGAGCCACACACAGCATCCGGCCTCTGCGGCTGGCCTCCTTCCCCAGCAGGGTGTGCCTGGTCCACCTGTCACAGCAGGTGGCAGAGTTACAAGTACCAAGCTCACAAGTCCTCAGAGACCTGACCCCGCCCACACCTCCGAGGGGCGCCCCTCAGCTGCAGCCAGGGCAGCCAGGATTCCTGCCTGCCTTTAGTCTGTCCTCCCCTCTCCGCCTCCTGAAGAATTCATCCTTTTCTGCCTCTGTCCAGACAAAACCCTACGTTCCTCTCGTGCCCCCCGTGATTGCAGCATCTTACTTCATCTACAGGGTGCACACAGGGCCTGGCTGGGTCACCTTCTGAGGACCCACGTGTCTCAGAGGCTGAGCCGGGAGCAAGACATTCACAAGTCAGACAGGTGGTTGGGTCTTACTCTGCTTCCAGGACGAGGCCTTAAAGGCCATGTCTTGGAAGCTCAAGGACACTGTGCCCTTGGAGGGCAAGAGACAGAAGGCCTAAGCGGGATGAATGTGATTCCAAAGGTTTTTTTCTAAGGCGTGATCCTAACAACATCACAGGCTCATAAAAACTGTGCTTTGTAACTTTGCAAAAGTATAAACAAACACCCCTGCTGTTTCTCTAGTGTCCTCTGCCAGTCAGGTGCGGGCCAACACTTGACCTCAGCTACTATCTCCTGCCTTTTCTAAATCCTCTGACCTCCGTTTTCTTCCGGGTGCTGCAGAGAGACCATGAATCCCTGTAGCGAGGGTCTAAAGAGTCCCACACTCTCCTTCTGTGCCCAGGACAAGAGAGGTGGTCACAGAAATTCCATCCTTTTTCCAGATTGTAGGCACTTAACTATTAGATAAAATTTTCATACTAAGTAAAGGGAGGGAGATGGGGAAAAAAAAAATCAGCCAGCTAACTCTCTACAGGTAGGGTTTCCCTGTGAGAAATGATATATTATGTTTACCAAAAATGTACCAACAAAATTTTTTAAGCCTTTAGGCTTCAGACCTGTTTCCTACCTGGGATAATATTAACCCCATATAGAGATTTATACATTATCTGAGAAAATTGAATCTCAGGATTGAAACATCTAAAAGGTCGAACGAGATTGAAAAAAGTTGTGTGAGCTGCCTACACCGAGGAACCAGTCTTATACTCTATTTGGAAAACGCAAATTCTATCTTGGCCAGTAGGATTACTAGCAGAAAAGTGACATAAAGTCATTTTTTTTAATTAAAATATTGCCAGTAGCCATCACATACCTCCATAAAGAAAAACTGATTCTGTGCATAATTTTTAAAATGTAATTCACATAACTTCTTTATATACTTTCCCCCTTGGTTTACTGAGTTTGAAATGTCTTTGTGCGTCCCTGCCTAACTCGACCTCTGGTATGATATTTAGGGCTGAGTCATTATTGACTCTGGCTTCCACAGACTGCCTGGCACATTTGCTTTTTTTTTTTTTTTTAAACCAGAGTTTTGCTATGCTGTTCAAACTGGCCTTGAACTCACTGTGTAACCAGGCTAGCCTCAAGCTCCAAGCGACCCTCCTGCCTCAGCGTGCTGAGTGCTAGGATTACAGGCATGCACTATCATAACCAAGTTCTCACTTGTTCTGTCACACTGGGTGTTTTGTTTGTTTTGTTTTTTTGATGCTGGGTATCACTAAGGCCCTGAGTAGCCCAGGCTGGGAGCACGCCTACAGTTCCCCTGCCTCCGCCTCCCACTAGCGCTGCGATTACAGGCATGCACCTCCTTACCCACTTCTTGCCCTGGGACTTCCTTTGGCCTCTTTTGGTGTGGCTCTCCCCACCTAGCTCAGCGACCTGCATTCGTGCCGCTAACTGCTTTATGGTCAGGAAGTGAAGGTCACACAGGCTCTCCAAGCAAGGCTTTTCACATTCTGACAAGGCAAGAGTGGGAATGGCGTGGGCTTCTCCACGGTGCCCATGCTGCCCTGGCGGGCTGGCAGGAACATGCTGCCGGCCTCATTCATTTTCTCCTCCTCTTCATGTCTCAGGGAAGGACAATAAAGCAACTTACACGCAGGAAATCCAGATGCACCAAGCAGTGTTCGGGGGTGCTCAGTCCCACAGGCCAGCGTCCTGGGCTGCTCTGCCGTTGCCCTGCCTGTGCTTCCCGCCTCAGCAGTGCAGCCTCATCCGGGACCATGGGACAGAGCTGCTTGCATAAGACACCAACACTGGTGCAAACCTGTACGTCAGCCAGCACAGCTCTTGAAATCCCCAGGGAGAGGACGGTGGAGGAGGAAGAAATGAAGCAAGAGTCACTGCGGAAAGCTGAGGTCAGGTGCTTTGCTTTCTCCAGATGCGAAAAAAGGACCCACCCAAGGACCTGCAGGGTGCTTGTTTATAGGACCAGCAAGAGGCTGATAACTCCTAAGGGGAGCAGGGACCTGCCCAATAACGTGGTTGTCTGGCCCGCCTCAGGCGCTCCATCCCGTTGCAGCTCTGGGATCTCCCTTTTGGTGTAGGAGAAATAAAGCCCCGGACCCGGTAGGTGTCAGATGTGCCGAGGCCACAGCTCCACAGCACTGAACGAAGGCCAGAAGAAGCTGGGAGGGTTAGAATGGAAATAAGGTGAGAAGAACAACAGCTCCTGAGTGTCCAGGAGGGTCCTGAGTGGGGTGGCCTTTGTCAGGGGTGACTTACACAGCAAAGTCACAAGGTAGGTACAGCGTGGGTCAGACAGCATCCACCAATAGGGTCGCAGTACAGCCATGACTAGCAGTGACCTGCAGGGGAGCAGGTCACATGGCAAGAATGTAGATGTTTGTGAGACGGGACAGTGCGGACGCTCTGCCGGTAGCCTGGCAGCTGGTGCCTGTCTGGATTTCCTGGCCTGGGAGGTGCTGAGTACCATGTCATTTCAAGGTCCTGCTCATCCCCAGGGCGGCTGCAGGCCAGGCGCTGCCACTCCATCTTGGGCCTGGCCTCCTGCAGAGTGCCCCAGCCACCGGCCCCCATCTCTATTCCATCTGCTGACTTCCAGGGCCCAGTCCCTCCCCAAACTCAGCTGTGTGGAGCACTTTTCTACAAGACCCAGAAGCTGTCATTCCTCGCGGCCTCGTCGTGGTCTTCTCAGTCACTCCTTTCTGTGTCCCACCACTCTCCCAGAACTCCCAGACTGATGTCCCTTGTCGCGCGCGGCCTTGCCTGCAAGAACG